GTATATCAGTATGTAGTGTCTCTACTTTAAAGAGTCCTCTCCTGCTGATGTTCAGGTGTATATCAGTATGTAGTGTCTCTACTTTAAAGAGTCCTCTCCTGCTGATGTTCAGGTGTATATCAGTATGTAGTGTCTCTACTTTAAAGAGTCCTCTCCTGCTGATGTTCAGGTGTATATCAGTATGTAGTGTCTCTACTTTAAAGAGTCCTCTCCTGCTGATGTTCAGGTGTATATCAGTATGTAGTGTCTCTACTTTAAAGAGTCCTCTCCTGCTGATGTCCAGGTGTATATCAGTATGTAGTGTCTCTACTTTAAAGAGTCCTCTCCTGCTGATGCTCAGGTGTATATCAGTATGTAGTGTCTCTACTTTAAAGAGTCCTCTCCTGCTGATGTTCAGGTGTATATTAGTATGTAGTGTCTCTACATGTCTCCATGCTTTAATGTTCAAAAAGCTCTTTATTGTTCTCATACTGCCTGTGCTGCAGCACCTCTTTTCACCCTCTGTCTGAAACCAGAGCCCAGTCTGCTCTGATTGGTTAGCAGGCCGGCTCAGTTGTGATTGGTCAACCGCTTAGAGATGTCCCGCCTCTTAGCCTATCACGTACAATAATAATATATAATAATATTGGGAGGGATGAAACCCTCTTTAATGGTCACACATGCAGAGCACACAGCACACACAGTGACATTTGTTCTCTGCTTTGAACCCATCCTAGTACTAGGAATCTAGTACTAGGAGCAATGTGTTGGAACGCTAGCCAATAGGAGAGCGAGTGTTACATAGTGATGTCTAAAGGAAAGGGAAAACCCCAAAAAGCCTAGTACGACCCCTTTAACTTGAATTTTGTTTAAACATAAAAAAAAACATTTTCAATAATTTGTAAATGCTGCCTCTCATTTCTTTAGAGCATGTGGCTGTTCAGCATTTGCTTTACCTCAGTTTAACTTTAAAAAAAAACATCTCCACGCCTTCAGAACATTTGTTAGAAATCTGTTGCTGCTTTAGTCCTCCTCCACCTCCACCTATGTTTAGAAACACATCTATCCTGTTTTATTTTTAAGCTCAAAGTGTTCTACCCCGGGGATATCCTGTAAGTCACCTTATTATTTATAACACACTTTCTTCTTAGCTAGCACGAAATCTTTCAAGAACAAATGAAATCTAAGAACAAGTTGGCATGCGCGTGTCCTCGCTCAGGTATAAAGATGGAGGTGTGATCTCCTCTCCTGTCTGATGATAACCTTGAAAGGATGCTGCCTTTATCTTCTGACAGTCGGCTGTGTCGAGACCAGGGAGATGTAAAAGTATACGGAGCTTTTTCTCCAACCTGAACCACTCTCTACTTGTCTACCTCTTTGTTCTGTCTGAAGATGGCGAGCATTAATGCAAATGGAGAATTCTCACTGATTGGGCTCTTCAACACAGGTGGACAGAAGCTGATTGTAAAGTAGAAGAAAGAGAGAATGAACAATTCTAAGTTGAAATATGATTTATGGTGAGGGACAGATAACTTTAAGAGAGGGCAAAAGAGCGAGTGCAAAGAGGCCCTATTATGCTCAATGTAGTTTTCCCTTTCCCATCGTGTTTTATATAGGTTTTAGTGCATGTAAATGGTCTGCAAGGCGACTTTTCTCTTCAACACACTTCCCCCCCCTGCCTAAAACGGCTTCATTGGACTCCTTTGTTAACTTCCGGAACATATTGACATCACTATGTAACACTTGTGCTTCTATTGGCTCTGCTCCAACACATTGTACGTGATAGGCTAAGGGGCGGGACCAGGGCTCTCGACTAACTTTTTTCACCATCCTCCCGGAACCGTCCCGAAATACAATCTAAGCCGTCCCGAAATTAATGTGGACCGTCCCGAATTTAAAATATTTGTTTTTCTACATTATCATTAGTTAAAATCATTCAAAGTGACCTGTAACATAAATAAAACATCATACAAATCATTAGATGATAATTCATCAACCTTTTTATTTGAGTCAATCAGTCAAACACATAAACAAAGGCCAAATATATTTAAAAAAAACACACAAGCGAGAAAGTTGCTCTAATATTGAATCCAATCAAGTCCCATCCGATTAACAACAAAATCCAACACTCTGTCCTGAAGACAGAAGACAGAACCCAGAGTAACCACTAACCAGGATGACAGTCTGTAACACAGTCAGGAGACCTTTACAAACTGCCCCGCCCCCTCGCACACAGGAGAGAGCTCTCTCGTCTGGATTGGAAAGATCGAAAATAAGATCGAAAATACATCATAGACGCATTTTGTAGTCTTATTGCATATTAGAAACGGAGTTGGCGAAACTAAAACTGCAATATAATGTTCATGTAGCAATAATACATATGACATATATGTTTTAAATGTCTCTACCACTGTCTTTAATAATTCCGGCCCGGGGCCCGTTTAATACCGGGGCTCGGTACCCATCCCTACATGGGGAGAGGCGCAGCATATTGCTAAGGACTACATGCGATGGAGAGTTCTCATCTCAGCTGCAATGACATGTCTGGAAACCCCCTCTCGGGTGCCCCATGCATAGCGCGCCGTCAAAAGCTGCTTCATAAGTTAAGTTTCGTTTCTCCGCACCGCTCCGGGGTAAAAAAAATTGTAGTTACATCACAGCTGTACGGCTGGCTGACAGCTGTAGCTATACGTACTGTGTGTGTGTGTATTTCGCGGGTTGCTAAATGCTTTGTGTGTGTTTATGTTGACAAGGAGGTTTAATAACTGTGTGCTACACAAAACGTGCAGTCAGTTTCATTTTCATCGCCGTTCGTAGTAGAGTTAGCAGGGTATTTTTATTTTAACTCTCGTCCCAAATTCGTCCCAAAATTAATTTGTATCCTCCCCGACCCGATTTTTTTCGGCCCCGGGACGACGGGAGGTCCTTAAGCTCGAGCCCTGGGCGGGACATCTCTAAGCGGTTGACCAATCACAACAGAGCCGGCCAGCTAACCAATCAGAGCAGACTGGGCTCTGGTTTCAGACAGAGGGTGAAAAGAGGTGCTGCAGCACAGGCAGTATGAGAAAAATAAAGAGCTTTTTGAACATTAAAGCATGGAGACATGTCCCAGTAGAGACACTACATACTGATATACACCTGAACATCAGCAGGAGAGGACTCTTTAAAGTAGAGACACTACATACTGATATACACCTGAACATCAGCAGGAGAGGACTCTTTAAAGTAGAGACACTACATACTGATATACACCTGAACATCAGCAGGAGAGGACTCTTTAAAGTAGAGACACTACATACTGATATTAACCTGAACATCAGCAGGAGAGAACTCTTTAAAGTAGAGACACTACATACTGATATACACCTGAACATCATCAGGAGAGGACTCTTTAAAGTAGATACACTACATACTGATATACACCTGAACATCAGCAGGAGAGGACTCTTTAAAGTGGAGACACTACATACTGATATACACCTGAACATCATCAGGAGAGGACTCTTTAAAGTAGAGACACTACATACTGATATACACCTGAACATCAGCAGGAGAGGACTCTTTAAAGTAGAGACACTACATACTGATATACACCTGAACATCAGCAGGAGAGGACTCTTTAAAGTGGAGACACTACATACTGATATACACCTGAACATCATCAGGAGAGGACTCTTTAAAGTAGAGACACTACATACTGATATACACCTGAACATCAGCAGGAGAGGACTCTTTAAAGTAGAGACACTACATACTGATATACACCTGAACATCATCAGGAGAGGACTCTTTAAAGTAGAGACACTACATACTGATATACACCTGCACATCAGCAGGAGAGGACTCTTTAAAGTAGAGACACTACATACTGATATACACCTGAACATCAGCAGGAGAGGACTCTTTAAAGTAGAGACACTACATACTGATATACACCTGCACATCAGCAGGAGAGGACTCTTTAAAGTAGAGACACTACATACTGATATACACCTGAACATCAGCAGGAGAGGACTCTTTAAAGTAGAGACACTACATACTGATATACACCTGAACATCAGCAGGAGAGGACTCTTTAAAGTAGAGACACTACATACTGATATACACCTGAACATCAGCAGGAGAGGATTCTTTAAAGTAGAGACACTACATACTGATATACACCTGAACATCAGCAGGAGAGGACTCTTTAAAGTAGAGACACTACATACTGATATACACCTGAACATCAGCAGGAGAGGACTCTTTAAAGTAGAGACACTACATACTGATATACACCTGGACATCAGCAGAATATGGCTAATGTAATAGTAATGTTCTGCTATCTGGAGGCCTTTCTTAACAGTAATATACTTCTCATGTTAGTACAGGAGCCTTGGGGTTAATTATACCTCAACATCTCCAGTATATCGGCTCTACTTTAAGTAGCTATCCTGTATTTATATGCGCTGGCATTAAAGAGCGCCAGATGGATAATAACAGGCAGGAGACAAAATAAGTTTCTGAAAGGTACTTCAAGATGCAGCCAGAAGAGAAAGCGATTTGTTCTGTGGATCTTGTGAGAGGGATATACTTGAAGAAAGCTCTGTGAAATCCTGGCACAGTGTAATGCAGATATATTCAAGAGGAGCTTCTGTTTCTCTGTCATGCAACAACTAACCACCTGAAGGGTAAACAAATTGAAGACCAGAGAATAAGTGCTCACGATTCAATCAACTTCAAACTCTTTGATCGTAGGGTTTTTGGAAATTGCCTGTACGGATGAGTTTTTTGCAAAATGTGGACAAAAAACAATGGTCTCCAAACCAAAGGTGCCTACTTGTTAAAATGGACATATTAAAAAGAAAAAGGTTATATATAATTCTCTGTGTCAATCAGATGTATTTTTCTTTTGAAATATTAAAAAGACAAATACATCTTATTGAGAGCTGTGACACAAAAAATAAGTTGTTAAACTTTTCAAGTAAAGGCGTGGACTGGCCGTCTATGTGTGTGTGTGTGTGCGTGCGTTTGTTGCTTACCTGGCTGATTTTAGCGGGTGTAAGCACCATGTCCAGGACTCCTGTCCAGCCGGCGATCACTCCTGTGGGGACCGCATAGGCCAGCGCTATCATCAGGAAGCGCACGTTACTAAAGGAGACACAGATTTAAAATTCAATTCACATAAAGAGTCTTACAAGTCAATTGTCTGTGTGCTGATTCTCCCATATGAATGAGTGCTTTGAACAGAGGCCTGTACTACGAAGCTGGATTTTTGCTTAGCCGGCTAAATTCAGGGAAATCTCGGGCTTTCCGGTCCTACGACGCTGGTTCTCTTTTTAGCGGGCTAGATCTCCATGGTAACTTATGCTGAGCGGCAAACCTGCTCCGGAGCAGGTTAGGTGGCAGGCTAAGAGATCAACTCAGTGAAAGCACCGCCTGCTGACCAATCAGAGCTCCGTGTGCGGAGTTTAAAGCGATCAATTCATATTACAGGATAGAGGAAATACAGAAAAACTGCCGTTGCAGGAAAGACGGCCGGCAAAAATCAACTGACTGTGAACGTGAAAATTAATAGAATATCCCCTCCCATCTTCAGAGCAATCTGACTATTATAATATTAGCGTTAAGAAAGCTTACTTAAATATCTGCCACAACATAAGTAACCGGATCAGAGTAACATTAAGTACAGTCCGCGGCACTGTGAGTGCAGACGTCGATGTGTGCCATTATCATTCATATCATATCACATCATAATGTATCATATATTTCCTTATCTGAGTCAGCTTCTTGAGCCGTATCTGGCCGTGCAACACTCACAGTGTCACATACTGTATGCAGAAGTATTATTTTAAGCAACACATTAAGTTGACGAAACACTCGAGTCAAATGTAATTAAAGTCAGATCCACTCGTGTCTTGGACGGGGCTGTGATTTCATAAACCTGTTAATGTACGCATTCAAACACTTTTTCTTTTACCAGCTGTATTCACCTTGCAGGTGCAGCTATGTGGCTTTTATCCTGGATAAAGTGTTTAAGTCATGGATGTTTAAAGTTTAACTTCTTCATATTTGACTAATATTAAAGTTCACTTTTCATTCAGGAAGTATGACGCTGCGCTGTCAGTACGCTTGTCCGTGTTTGAGATTGGTCGAATGCTCCAAATACCACCCCTTTCATGTGAACGCGCACCTAACTAGATAGGACACGGCTGGCTTGAGCGATCCACTTGATAACCGGCGTCGTAGTACAGCTTAGCGCCAGCGCGTATGTTTTGGCTTAGGCCAACCGGCTAACTCCAACATATCCAGGTTAAGTTGAACCAGCTTCGTAGTACAGGCCTCAGGTGTGCCTATGAATCACTAGATGAAAACCCAAAGCCAACGACATCAAAATAAGTTATTGTATTCACAGTTTGTCAATGCACTTGAAGCCAAAACGATGCCTGTCTTTCTTACAGTACCTAAATGTATCCCGATTGTTTAAACAGACAATAAGGACAACTTAAGATAAAATAATAAAAAAGCATCTTTGATGAGATAAACAAGAACTATTCCAGAATGTCTTTAAAGTGTAGGACAAACTGTAGTTGATAGCTGGACCTACAGTTATTTTTGGTTTGTTGTTTTGTTCCCCTCTGGTTTATTTATTATCCACACACACTCAAAGCTTCTAAGAAAAAGACTGTTGGGATAATCTTGTAGGCAGGTTGGTCCCATTGCTGTCCTCTGGGTAAAAATATCTTGACTTCAAGTATACAAATCAAGCTCCACAGGGAACCAATAAATAGTTCACCGAACATCAATGATTCATTGACACAGTTTCTTGTTTGGTATTTAACACGCAGAAGTTTGTTTAGAAGAATTAGACTACTTCTACTAGAGTAGAAGTAGTAGTGATCAGTCCAGACTTATAATGGGTCGGGTCAGTAGTTTTAAAACTACTTTGAGTATAAGCGTAACAGAATTTGAACATTTAGATTTGTTTGGTGCACATTTGGTGGTCAGATTAAGGTCTGTTATCTTTTCAGTTTAAAATAAATAAGGTTAAAATGATTGAATATCCTGCAAATATAATTTTTGTTTAGGGGCATCAGGTAGGAAATACCATGCAGATTCGCATTAGAGGACATAACATTTCAGTCAGCCAATGTTGTCCTCACTTAACAACAGCTGTGTTATCAAATACGTTTTGGGGCTCCAGAAAAAAAACCTTATTTGGTGGCAGAGGGGGAAAGTGGCTCTTTTGATAGTAAAGGTTGCAGACCTCTGCCCTAGACCAACTTACTGTAATGAGTCAAACGCAACATTATTCATTTACAACAATATCATAAAGGTTGAAGCAGTAAGTAATTCTTATCTTAAGGTTGTTCTACTTTCCTTTCCATTGGCGCATTGATAAATCAGCGCATCTTCTCAACACTAGCTAAGTGTATTGCTTATGAAGCTATCAGGTGAAATGAAACTGTACGAACAGGTGATAAAAATAAGCATCCCCTCGCGGCTGTAATGAACAGCTTCAGGCTGCAGATCCTGAGCTGCAGGGTCTGATCCGAGCTGTCAGCTGATGTCTCACAGAGTGCTCTGATCAACAGGAAACACAAAGAGAACGAGACACCTCCATATGCCTCGTTATGTATGCATATCCATATCTATGGCACCCCTCCAATCACATGCAAGCCAATTACAATCACTTGGAACACCCGCGATTATCACCTTCGCCCAATGAGGTGGCATGCTGATTTAAAATCAGTGGCACCGCCTCGACCCAAACAATATGATTAGAATCATTGGGCGACTGACAAATGAGCCGCGGCTGGCACAGCAGGCGACAGATTCATGGATCGTTTGGTTTTCCTGCTCCATTTTCTTCTTATGGACCCTGGATTTATATTCTTGGTCATTATAATGCAGGCGGCATCCCGAGCAGTATCATGAGGGACATCTGGAGAACACCTTGGGCATCCTGCATCCCCGCTATGTCTTCAAACGCTCAACACACACACTGATACAGTTCACACACACACCTACAGACAGTCTTTGTGTTGCAGACTACACAGGGAACTTGTCCCCAGACACAAAGCCCTGTTGCTGTAAACATGCACACCCTTTTCCCTTTCCTGACACTGGTTCACTTCTAACAATGAATGTCTTTTATTCGCAGACTGCTTTGAGTCCGCAGAAAAACAAACACTGCTGTCTTGTACTAAGCAGTCTGAAGCTACTTGGCCTTGGGGAGAGTATCGAGGGACGGTCATAAAAAGCACCGTGATGGAGCACCCTCTTCGCCCTCCTCCCTGCACCCTTTTCATTAACCTTGCCATAACAGCAAGAAATCAATATCCATGCACCTTTTGCAGAGTCCGGGTGCTTATTTAGATAACCAAATGTGAGCTAGCAGACTTGTAAGTGAGAGGAAATGTGTTTTCCCTTTCCTCTCCTGATGGTAATAAAATATTTCCGAAGAAGCCCCTGAGCTGGCGGTGTCATCAGCTAAGTGCCATTTGTCCTTGGCAGACCAGGCCGGAGATCAATGCATCAAGACGACAACTTTCAGAGCTACAGTGAGTGTGAGGGGGCTGGGGATCATCAATACTCGGGCTTTGGGCTGTTGAGCATTCCCACGCACTGTGATCAGAATACAATGCTAACTTTTACACCTCGTGCAGAGACATTCAGGCTCTAATTAGACTGCTGCTGAGGAGGCAGATGTGAACAGCTGGAAGCACACATGATGCTGAACATCATGAACCAGTGCTCAGACTCTGACAGTCTAAATGGATTAACAGAAACACGTGTATCAGGCAGAGTAACTGACTAGTTGGCTTCTACCTGCTGTAATTGATGAGGCTACAAAATGTAAGCATAGTATCAGCTCCTGGATGCAGACTGGTCCAATCCGATGGCTCCATACTGATATTTTTAAGCAGATCAGGTATCATCCACATGTGACCAATCCACTATAAATACAGTTTACCCATCAATGTCATTACAAATTATTTATGCTGCATTTATTAGATCATGGAAGAAATCTTGTTTTTAGTCACACAGCAAGTAATAATAATAATAATACTGCATGTTATTTATATAGCGCTTTTCCAGTTAATGGGCGTCTAACAATCAGAGAGCCAACGGCCCAATCCCCACCCTCTGCAGTTGAAATGTCGAAGTGACATTGGGGAAGATACTTAACCCTAAATTGTCCCCATAGTGTCCGGTATTAAAGTGTATGTAAGTTGCTTTGGATAAAAGCATTAGCTAAATGACATGTAATGTAATACAATGTGGTTAATTCAGTGAGGCATTTGAACAAAGAGCACTGGGATATGATCAGGAATGTCGAGGTAGAGTTTTGGAATACCTGTGACTGGTGGTGATTATTAACACACTAAAAGCTTCAAAGTCTGAGGTAATTAAAACACGATCGCAGCACGCAGTGGATTTATGTTAGTATTTAAATTTGAATCAGTTAAGGAAACTGATAAATGCAATGAGACTTAAAATGAAAGAGACCCTATGATGCTTTTTGGGGTTTCCCCTTTCCTGTAGTGTGTTATATAGGTTCTTGTGCATGTCAATGGTCTGCAATGGCAACGATTCTATTGGCTAGCGCTCCAACACATTGTACCTGATAGGCTAAGAGGCGGGACATCTCTAAGCGGTTGACCAATCACAACAGAGCCGGCCAGCTAACCAATCAGAGCAGACTGGGCTCTGGTTTCAGACATTAAAGCATGCAGACATGTCACAGTAGAGACACTACATACTAATATGAACCTGAACATTAGCAGAATGGGGCCCCTTTCAATCTTTCTGTATTAAATATAAATGCATGGCTCTTTAAAGTTGTATTCAATTCTTTCTAAAGGGTCTGTCTGCTACCTGCATGAGCGCATATGGAAACATTAGACTCGGAAATCAGTTTTCTGTTTGCTCCGTCCCTGCAGGATATCTCTAAGTCTAGATGCTGCTGGATTGAGATACAGCCTCACTGGAAAGCTGCCTATCACTGGTGGAACAGAAACCCTCCCAGCTGCATGGCCTAGTTAAGTTGGCCGGTCTGTGTGTGTGTGTGTGTGTGTGTGTGCATGTGCATCTGTCCAGAACCATGCATTGGGTTGCTATCAGCCTGGTTCCTGTCATCTATCCGAGGAAGCTCTTTTACAGGGAGTTAAGCCTCACTGCGCTGCTCAGAGGACTGTGGACAGCATGGCACTGCAGTGAAGATATTTCATTCTGCAGGGGACAGAGTGTAGCCAACAAGGCAAGGCCAACTCCCCGGCTACCCTCACCCAGAGTGTCCTTCCCCTTTAATCTGCGGCCACTGCCATAGGCAACATTCCTCCACAAGCAAGGCAAACAGAGCCTGCTGGACCAAGACTGCCCTGGTGGAACGAGTGAAGGGCAATTACAGTGGGGACATGTGCCCATCACTCTTTGAAATAGCCAATGATACGATGGAGAAAGTGGACTGATTTCGTAAAACCTCATAGGCGAGATTTTATTTTTAGGGTTAGGGTTAGGATCACTCCCTAATGTTCGTATTGTTCGTACTTTTTACTACATTTTATTAAGGCATTTCGGACAGACAAACTTAAGATGTACAATTGCTATGTCTTGAAAAAACACTGTGTAATTGTTTGCTGCCAAACGTCAATACAAAATATATTACAAAAAGGAAATAGCCAATGATGTCCCCTACATTCAGATTGATTTGTTTCATTTATTTATATAATGTGGTTAAATGTGGAAGAAGGACAGAAGAGACGTGAATGTTAGCTCCAACACCGGTTATGAACGGTGGAGCAACTAAAAATATAAAACTAAACAATGGTAAGACGAACTAGTTTGGAAAAACATACCAAGTAATTTATCTTGAGAAAAACCTGCAACCAGGACTAAGATATGGATAATAATTGTGGGATGCTTGTTTCAACGGTGTTATGGGAAGACACGACAGCGATATGTGAACAATCTTCTCATTGCATAAGGTAGGCTTACGCAAGGTCTTGGACAAGGCTTGTAGATTCTTTTAAATGTCATTTAAAGACATTCCTGTTTGGGCAGGCGTTTGGGTAACTTGTGTGCTTTTATTTTATTTGATTGTATGTTTTTATTGTTTATTGTGTTTCTATTGTGTATTGTGTGTTTCACAATGTATTGTGTTTTTAGCACGTCTTTATTCGTATGATGTTTTAAGGCTTTGTCAAGCACTTTGTGACTATGTCTGTGAAAAGCGCTTTATAAATACATTTTACTTACTTACTTACTTACTTACTTACTTGGATCCTCGTTTGGCCCCCCTCCGAAAGAAGGGTCTGATTAAATCAATTGTGATTGTGTTCAACAGACACTGTGCTTTAACTTAAGCTGAAGTCAACAAAAATGTGTTTTGTTTGGTTTTTAATAACTTTTTAACTAAGTTACTGACACAATAATTAAATCATGGTCTTTTATGGGTTTTTTTGTGCACGAGGACTTTATACTAACCTAAAAGCGTTGACATCCTAAATATTGTCTTTCTGTCCCACATCTAATGCGTCCCCCTTAACTAGCCCCCCCAAAAGAATTGGTCTAGAACGGCCACTGCCTATATTTGATAAGAAACACAGGTTCATATTTTATTATTTGGCAGGCGGCACACTAGTAAAGTAGGCCTTCTAGTTGTGAACTTGTTTTGACAAATAGACGCCCCTGGTAACAGGCTGCAATCTTCAGGGTGTCTCTGGAGAGTGATTCAATCTCCGTCCCTACCTCCTCTCTAAGCTCTTCCCTTGTTCCTTTCCCGGAGAGGAAATAGACAAAGGTGGTGATTGTGAAACATCAATAAACGCATCCCTAGTGAGATTCAAGACCTTGTCATCATAGACTTTCTTTCTGTAACCGCATGCATGAGTGCCGCTTTGAGAATACACTGAAGGTTGACCCCGATGCAGAGGATGATGTTGATTTCAGAAGCAACCAGTGTATTATAGCTTAGTAATTAATCTAGAGGGAGAGGCTGGGGTCTCTTTGATAACAACCCAAGCAGATGGTGAGTGGCAGACCCCTTCATTAAGATTCCTCATCCTTCTCCAGCGCAAGACTCTGTCACTTCAACTTTCAGAGACAAGCAGCACGCAATGCATCAGCAAATAAGACAAATCTGCTCCTGTCGGCTCCCTTAGTCTAAGGTCGTAAAACAAAACAGCATCTGAGAATTATTTTCAAATGCAGTCCTCACTTGCTTCACACGTCTACAACCCAAATGTAATCACGGACAAGTCAAGTAAGGCATACTGAATAATGTATGGAAATAATAGTGCCAACCATAGATTGTGTATAAAGATAGGAGGTAGTCACCGTGACGTATATGATTGGTTTGTGGACTACTGTTTTTGAAGAGGGCTTATTAGGTTTTTGGGGGTTTTCACTTTCCTGTAGTTGGTTTTTGTGCATGTAAATGGTCTGCAAAGGCTAAAATCCCTGTGTTCCCTCCAGGGGGTTTCTCTCCCACACACCTGAAATGCCTCCAATGGTTACTTCTGTAACATAGGCTAAGGGGCGGGACATCTCTACGCGGTTGCCCAATCACAACAGAGTCAGCTAGCTAACCAATCGGAGCAGACAGGGCTCAAAATAGTAGAGGAACAAAATACAAATATGAACCTGGAAATTAGCATAATATGTCCTCTTTAAACACAATATCCTTCACCAGGTGTGTGTGTGTGTGTGTGTGTGTGTGTGTGTGTGTGTGTGTGTGTGTGTGTGTGTGTGTGTGTGTGTGTGTGTGTGTGTGTGTGTGTGTGTGTGTGTGGTTGTACCTCAGAAGTCTGCAGATGCTGCTCCTGTAACTGAGTCTCTGGCTCGCAGCCGCCACACTGGGAGGGACGGGTGGACGGGCCGGGAAATAAATCAGGACGGCCACGAAGAGCACAGCAATCGTAGCTAACTCTGCCGGAGAACAGGGGCAAAAGATAAAAGACACACATGTTATTACAAATATAAGACAGTAAGAATCATTTCACAATTAAAACAAGTCACTGTTACATCTAAAAGACTCATGAAACTTAGAAAAACACTTTTTTCCTATTTGGTTGTTTTCTTAACCTCTCAACCCTCGGATTGATCGAGCAGCAGCTGCCTGTTATTCTTTCCCTCACATCGATCTGACGTTTTGATCTTTCTTTTGATGACCTCTAAAACTTTAGTTGCACACACGGGTGTCTGCTTTCTCCCTTTGAAACTTAATAATAATACTACCTTGGGTTGAACAAAAAGCTGCAGCCTCAATCTATTACAACGCGCTTGTTTCTCCTTTCAGCGTGCTTTTAATTTTCTGAGTCAGTTAAGCATAACAGTCGCAGCGATCTAATTTGCAGAGGGCGGATATGAACAGTGTAATTGGGCTTTTTTTGGCATTTGTGCAACATTTTTGGATCCCCCGGCCTGATTGTTTTTATGTTTTATGTCCCTAGACGGGGCTGACATGATGTAGAAATGATGTGCTATCGATCCTTCGTGCCCTCTGAAGCAGGGGCGGTTCTAGGGGGGGGGCAACAGGGGCCAGTGTCCTTGTAACACTGACCAGGGACCCCCCCTGTGGCCCCCATCCCAAAAAAAGGTTACAATATTACGATTTATTGGAACTAAATCAAATCAGAGACCAAAAAAAACAAAAACGGAACTAGAACTTAGTTCATGAGAACCTTTCCACCCCCTTTTCAGTCCCTGCTAGAGAGCAGGTACTTTCGTGGGAGAAAAAGGTTCCCATTTCTGATTGGCTGGGCGGATTGCAAACCACGCCCCATAAAACTCCCAAAAGGTTTTGTGAAGCCGCCATTTTATTTGCTCGCATTAGCATTATTAGCATTAGCATTAGCCCAGCGCACCAACGGAGAGAGAATAACTTATGGCAACACAAAAAAAAACATGGGAGAGGTGGAGATGAGGAGGTGTCGGCACTCTGGCGATTTCCTCGGAAGGCTTCAGTAGAAGCTGCTGGGAGTCCCAGCAGCTTCTACTGAAGCCAGTCCCCAACTCCGGGGACTTCCGGCCGGGGACTTCGGGTGGCAGTATACGCCGTGAAGTTGTTTGCGGCCTGCCAGTAAACCCAAAGCAGAAGAAGAAGAAGTGACGTCAGCGGCTTCATTTGCCTAATCCTCCCTCAGGGACTTATTCCGGTGTGAACGCGATCTGCTCTTTAGTTCATCAGAACTAAGTACTGGGAACTAAGTACGGCAAAGTACTTGGTGTGAAAGCGCCTATTGACTGTATTTTATGTTTATTTTACACAATTACTTTATACTGTCTTGTCTTTTTAACCTGCTTTTATTGTGCCCCTCTCATTAAATAACTGGCCCCCCCAGTAAAATGAGTCTAGAACCACCACTGCTCTGAAGTTCTCGCTTTCCGTTCGTACCTGCATACATAATCATCTGGATCCTATCTCGGATGAAGTTCTCGTATCCCACTGATACCGTAGAGGTGAACGTCTGGGTGTTGTTGGGGGCCGGGACCACCAGAGGTCCGATTATAAACGAAGCAGCGCCTCCCAGGTAGGAGAAGAGGGAGGCCACGGCCGTCGCTGTGGCTCTCTGGTCCGGGGCGAACCATGTGGTGGAGAGGAAGGGGCCGGCGCTCATTATGGTAGGGCCGGCCAAACCATTCAGCAACTGGCCCCCGTGTATCAACCTGTTACAGGAGGGAGGAGGAAATCATTTTTAATTGACCAGAAACAGCAAAAACAAAAGAAAGAACATCACCAGGTTGTTGGAAAGTAGTGTTGTGATATTAAAAACATTTCTTTAGTCTGTACAACACTCTCTTAAATGTTGGCTACATGGTCTGTTTTGGTTATAAATGTGGTTTAAATATTGTACGCCTTCAAGTGAAGATCAACTATGTATTGCTTGTCAATTGATGTACAATAGTAGAGACTAAGCTGAAGACTAGTAGCTTTGAACTGTGGAACATTTGTAACTCAGGTTCCTATCAATGTACCGGATTTCTTTTCTATGTGTCTACAATAAAAATATAAGAACATTTCAAATTTAAAAAACATTTCTCCTGCATAATGGACAGCCAATAAAGTGTGGCAGTGACGACTTATTTTGTAGTTAGCATTAGCAGTTAGCATTTAATTTTTTTCATTGGATTTTGGAATATTGCAGAAATAAGATGTGTGCCAAACAAACGTTTTTGTGTTACGTCCAGCAAGATAATCTCCACATATTAACACCTCTTTTATGATTTTTTAAGCTAAAAACGCAATCACCAGAACTGTACAAAAGCCAATATCAGGCTATAAACAAACTACATCACAATCACATGACTTCCAAAGCTAAGCTAAAGGTGGCTAATGAGCGGAGGAGCGATGACGTTCAGTACTCTCATTTACACTTGTTAGCAACTTAAGACATACTGTATATTGAGTGGGGTATTCACTGATGTATTTTATGTTGTTGAACAAAACAATATCTTCAGCTTGTGTTAATCACAGATCTATTTCAGGCATCTAACCAAAAGCAAATTCAGAAAAACGTTGATTTGGGAGACATGGAACCAAAAGTGGTCAAATGCTGACTCATTTCTGGGTTTTAAAACTCATCCTTGCACCGCTCGATGTCAGTTATTATAATGGTGTAATGAGGGTTCACACTCCAAATACATTTCCGCATGTTAAAGAATAACAATAAGGTTATTATACGATAATGGTGACACCAGACACTGAAGGTACTTAGGTGTATCTGTCTCATTAAAATCTAACAGCTACCCAGATGTGGCAAATCTATTTCTCTCAGCTCGGCTGCTTTCAGCTTCTGTCATGACGTTTTCTGTCTCTGGAAGGTTGAGTCTGAATTGTGTGCATCCGCAGTGACCTTGAAAATCTACTATTAATGGAAATCTGATCCCATATGATATTTAACTCAACGATGTCCCTGAACATAGGTGAGCTTTCTGCTGCCAGCTGTTGCAGGGACGTTGCACGACACTCAGGTGGAGGACTGTGACGCCTTTAAAAGGTTCAGAAAACAACCTAATCAGGAGTTTAAACATGTCTGGGTAGGAGGACTTCCTGCACTCAGAACAAGTTTTGTTTAAGGTGCTCTTTGGATACATGTAGATGTATAAATCACACGAAACAACTCAAGGTCACTCTCTTTAGAACTAAAATGCCTTTTATGTAATGGCATAGTCATAATAAAACTCTAAACTAATTCTGTTGCGTTTTGGCATCCAGCCATGGGATTTAAACAGATTTAATGGGCGATGGCATTCAACCAAAATAAATCTTCCACCTGGACATGGTGCTGTGACCTTGTGACCTCAAGAGAATGTAGACAAATACAATCAGAAATCATAAGTTTGAGGCACATTTTACAGAAAAGCTGTTTTTTTTGCTCACTGTCTAGGACTCTTATTTGACTGAAAGAAATGTATTACAAATGCCTTTCTTTTGTGTGGTTCCTATTACTACAAAGTCGGCTGTTGCAATGAGCCTCCTTGCTACCAGTGTAAAAACAGAATAATGAAGCATTTAATAATATCTGATGATGAGATAATGACATGCTAAGGAATGAAAATGAGGTGTAATTATTTCTGATGATGGTAGAAAACAGACAGAGTCCAGCACATGTCAAAGTACAGTCGCACTTGTGCAGCTTCAGACTGAGCGGTGTGAGACAGATGTTCTTTAAAATATCCCTCCAACACGGCCTGTCTGAGACACGGCTGATTGTCTGTGAGCTCAGCAGACTACACTGCATCCAAAATGGAAATAATGTTACACATACTGTTGGAGCATCTTAGGAGATACATGTGTATACGATTGTATAGATATGTGTGCAAGTACGTTTTGTATGTATGTATATTATGCATAATATTTTCTACAACATAGTAAGCATTTCTTTTTACCCAGGATGACCCTGTCTGCTTCTGTTCATTATTGTAAAATAAACAAAACACAATAAAAACAGTAAAAAGAAAATGGAAATAATGTATTTTTAACAAAATGCATCTCTAAAAATGTTCCGAGTGAACTAACTTTTTAAGTCACAAAAGAGTCAAGATATAAAAAATGTTTACACAAAGTCAGAACTGTGTTTGTCTACAACAGTAAAATGCTAAGAAATGCAACGATATCATCTAGAAATGTCACATGTATAAATATAATTATATACACATGTAAAGGACATATTTCTGCACAATGATTACTTTTACTTTTTATACTTCAAGAACATTTAGCTGATAATACTTACTATAGTACTTTTACTTAAGTAAGATTTTGAATGCAGGAGTTTAACTTGTAATAAAGTAATTTGACAATAATGTATAGGTGTTGGGGAATGATTTGCTTAGGTATTCAACCTTTGACACAGTTCATAATTTTCTCTTTTCACTGTCTCCTTTCCCAGTGTTTCCCAGACAGTGATTTATTTATTTGCCGCCACAATTAAATATCGTCCGCCACAAATGGATCTCATTCAAAGAAATAATAATAATAATATTTGTATTTATTTTTTGGTGGTCTAATGGATAGTGAGGTGGGCTGATGATCGGAAGGTTGTGAGTTCAAATCCCGCCTGGAACACCACTACTAGTGTGCCCTCAACTCCGGTGTGTCTCACTCAATAACAACGCAACACAGAGCAACAAGAACGTTGTCTACAGTAGCCATGAACTCGCATGTATTTTGTTATTTGAGGGGGGGGGGGGAGGGGGGGTGCGGTGCCTCCACAAATAGAATAAAATTCAAGCTTCAAGGTTCAAGGTTCAAGGTTCTTTATTGTCAAACTAACATAGCTACAGAGTAATTATGTCGTTGAAAATCTTAGGTCACAGGCTTCTGTGGGAAACACTGTTTCCCATGGCATAGTTCTACGGGTATTGCTGCTATCTCTCTTAAGGAGGAGCAGCTTGGGCGCATTGTTGTTGCCAGCTTATGACCGGTCAACTGTTGGTCAGAAATAGTTATTGTTGTGGGACACCTGGAACACATCCTTCTCGGGGTGTAGATGACCTCGAGCCATAAGCAACAACAAATGTGATTCAGTGTCCTCAGATGTTTAGTCTATCTATTGAAGAATATTGATTATTACACTCTGAACTAGTTCAAACCTGGAGCTACAGGAGGGGTCTGCAGAATTGATTGTGGCATCTCTACCGTGTGGTCAGACCGTGGCCCGTGACATGTCGTGTGAATTCTCCGGCCGAAGCTCCAAATAAACCGTCAGTGTTTGCCATCAAAGCTCCAGCTCTCCATCGTGTCTCTCTTTGAGTCCTGACTCCAATTGCTTCAGAAGTTTCCCCCACAATAGGTACTTTTACTAAAGCATCTGAATACTTCTTCCACCACTGGGTGGCGCCGGGAGAAAATGAAAAGGGTGAAGCAGGACAAACAGGGATTCTTGGTTAAAGTATTTAGTCTGTATTCTATACCGTCTTTGGTTTTTCTACATTAAGATTTGAAATTTGACAGCTTAAAAACGTCAGCTGATTCTTATTCAACATAAGTGCAGGCTGGAGGGAGAAGACTGGATGTTTGTAACGTTATTCAAACTTAACTTCACGACCGAGTTAACACCAATTTGGAAGACTGAATAACACCAATTATTTCAGTAAAAATGTAATAATATGTTCAGATCCACGGGCATACGACAACTCCCCTACAATATTAAACCAATAAATATTATAAAAGACCTAAGTAAAAAAAAAAAACTGGCTTTATGAAACTGTTTTGAGACTCACTGACACAGGCTTCTGGCGTCTATCAATGTCAAACCATCGTTGTGACAATTTAGAAAATCCACCTGTGTGGCAATGACAGCTATATTCAGACAGGACTCAATACTAGTGCTGACATTATACCGTACAAATAGAAAACTGCTACCACACTGTGAGAAGTAGGAACGTATTTTTCTAGAAGAAAATTGGAGTTGCAAATGTTTAAAAAAGCCATACATGAATGTGTCTAAATTAAATACAACCCAACACTGCTAATAGTTATTCTTATTTCAATAACTATGCGATCAGGGAATAAGTGAATCAAATCTTGAGAGAAATCAGACAACAATTGTCTCTACAATGTGCTTCGTTCATTAACAAAAAAGTGTGAATGTTCAATATCCCAAACTACATTTAAAAATAAAACTCTTCAGGCTTAAAGCAGACTAACACCAGTTTGTCTAACTGTCTGTGTGCTTACATTTCTCTGCACTCTGACTCTTTACCTTTGCTTTCCACTGTCTCTTTGGTTCAAGGATAAAGTGCAGGGTATATGCAGGAATCCTGAAGTCAGATGTAACACCTTTTAAGACCTTTTTTAAGACCCTTTCCATACATTTTAAGACCTCATCGCTCCACTTGGAGTTCTAACCGGTTACATTGGCGACACACTTTACCTCACATTGACTATATACAGTATTGATTGTCCTTCCTCCTTATCTTCCAACCATTTGGACGCAGACTTGCATTTCCCCATAACGATGCTGTTTAACAACCGGCGTAAACGGACCTTCGCGCGCTATCAAGCAGTGAGCGTGCGATGTCCTGTTCAGATGACGTCAAATCCAACGGGATGCCATAAATAAACTACACAGAATCACACTACACACCTACGCAATGATTACATTCAGGCAGACTGTAGAATACAACCTCTTTGGACAATTTATATACTTATTGAAAACAAGCTA